TGCAGGAGGCAGCCAATCAATGATTCTTATCATTAATGCTTCCATCTCTCCCTCCCTTTCCCTTCTTCTCTGAAATAAAAATATATTTTAAAAAATTTAAATAAAAGTCACACTACTAGCTACATTTCAAATGCTCAATAGCCACAAGTGTCTAGTGGCTACTATACTGGACAGCACAGAGACATTTTCATCATCACAGAAAACCCTACTGGGCAATGTTGTCAAGCACTGATGATTTCAGCCCAATGTGTAGAGAGTGTTTTGCCTGTAGACTCTGTCTTCAGTGCCAGGGAGGGAGCAAGACTGAGGGATTCTTTTTATCAGACTCCCAAAGAGCTAGGAGGTAAGGAAATCAGACAAAGGGGCCTGAAAATTTGTTATACTCCATCAGAGGCTGCAAGGACAGTTATATTAGCATAAAGGTATATGAGTTCATTGAAGATATTTGCTGCTTTATTGGGACTGAGAGCAGAGAGTTGATACTATAGAAATTTGACTTTGTGCTGTTTGAAATTTAATTTCTCTTAAAGTTTTCCTCCTGAAAATAATAACCTATTTAATCTGTTCTGTTAGAAAACAAGGTAAAAGAAAAATGAATTTCTTTTTCTGTACTCAAATCAACACTTCTGACACCAAATGTGTGGGTGTTTTTACACCAAGCATTTTTCCAATTCTTGGAGGACACCAACTGGGTGTCCAACAGTTGAGCTCAATGCTGATACCAACTGCCCTGAGTTAGTGCAGATTCCATAGGTTAAGGGCTCAGTCTCATAAGACTGTCCCCTACCCCAACTTCAGACACCAATCTCAAGTCCAGGTTGTCACCTGTGCTTCTGATGACCAACTATAAATTGGAGGTTCCCATCTTCCCTTCCTCAGGTTCAAAATTTTTCTAAAATGATTCACAGAACCCAGGAAAAGATTACTTACTAGACGACTGGTTTATTATAAAAGAATATAGCTCAGGAACAGCCAGATGGAAGAGATGCCTAGGGTGAGGTATGAAGGAAGGGGCATAGAGCTTCTGTGTCTTCTCTGGCTATATAACCCTTTCAGCATGGTGAACCTCTTGGTTAGGTTTTTTTTGTGTGTCTTGTTTTTTGTTGGGGTCCAACCCCAGCAGGTCCAGGGGTTCCCAAAGGTGTGGACCGAGTTGGCTAAGAAGGAATTTTTTTTTACCATTTATGCAAATTTTCTTTATTCAGATCTATTCCTGTTCATTTTATCCATGAATCCTCCTTACAGGAGTTCAATCGCAAGAAGCAAACTGCTGGACAAGCATCATGTTTCCCTCATGAAGACTGTTTTGTCTTGGAAGGTGTTCCTCTTCCTTCAGCTTCTAACAATGACAATACTTGCGCTCTCGGTCACGCTCTCGGTCTCGGTCACGCTCTCGGTCACAATGTCTCTCTCTTTTTCTGCTTCTCTCTCTATAATAATCATCATGACGATCTCTACTGCAGGATTTATGGCGCCGACTCTTTTCTCGTGATCTACTATGGTCCCTCTCTCTTGATCGTTCATATCTTGATCCAGAACCATAAAACTTGGATTCAATTCCATGAAGGCAATCTTGCAGAAAGCTAATAAGAACTTTGCAACGATCATCAGCAGATACTTTGGATTGTTTAATTAAAGAAATTGCAGTTACCAATGTCTCAATTGCACTCCCATAATCACCAGCTCTGGCATCAGACACGGCTCTTGAATTAGTACTGCTTGAGATTGCTCTATTTCTATTCATGATTTCTTCAAACTCAGCTTCACTCAGTGGAGTTCTTGCTGTATCCATTTCCCTTCCAGGAGGCCCATAGTCACCCCTATCATATGGCGGAGGTCGGCCATATGGATCTGTTGGTGGTGGATCCCGACTATCTGATGTAGGCATGCCGCTGTTAGTTGGTGGAGGAAAGAAAGCTGGGTTCACATGTGGAGCTGGCAGTGGGGCACCTGGAGGTGGTCCAGGAAGATGTGGAGGAGGAGCAAGTGTAAGGGGTGGCCCAAGAGGACCAGGTGGACGAGGTGGAAAGGGGCCTGGAGGTGGAGGTGGTCCCTGTTGTGGAGGTAGTGGCCCAGGAGGGGGGCCATAGCCTGGAAATGGCGGTGGAGGGCGATCTCTTCGATTAGGAGGCCCAGCTAAAGGAGGAGGCAGAACCTGACCAGGTGGAGGTGAACCTGGTGGGCCTGGAGGACCTAAGGGTGGACGTGGTGGAGTCTGTCCAGCTGGAAAAGGTGGGGGTGGCCCTCCTAGCCAAGGAAATTTGTCCCCACCGGGAACAGCCCCTGGAAAACGACCCCGTCCTCTACCACCTTGTGGAAATGCTGCACGTGAACTGCCTCCTGGAGGACCAGCTTTACCTTTCCCAGACATTTGTCCTGATTGTGCAGTTTTCCTGGATTGCATTTCAAATTGACTCAGGAACTGTTTATTGCATGGAGTTACAACAGGATTCTGACCATGAAGTTCTCTTTTAGGCAACAGATCCATTAACTTTTTTGAGGATGCTTCAGATCCAACACCAACAAGGGCAAACCCCTTTGATTGGCCATTTGCTCGGTTTTCCAAAAACTTTATCTCCAAAATATCATTTACTCCCAAAGAATGCACTGCTTCAGTTAAGTCTTCATCTGTTGTCCACCATGTTAGATTTCCAATATATAATGCAATTCTCTTTCCCGTATATGTATAGACAACATTCGGTGCTGCTCCTTTACCCACATCATCACCAACAGCTGGTGGGAGAATATCCATGTAATCCCGGTCTTCTGGGGCATCTCCATTATTTGCGGATGGAGAGATGACATCATCATACAAATCTATCTGATCATGCCCACCATATTCAGCTTCCTGGTTGAACTCTTCGTCTACATCTGCATAAATGTCTATGTGGTCCACATCGTCCACCATCTTCCCTTGGCCTCGGTGGCCGTGGCCGCCGCCGCCACCGCCTCCTGCAGGTCTAGGGGTTCCCAAAGGTGTGGATGGAGTCGGCGAAGAAGGAATGACATGGAGACAGCGTTCAGTTGATCAGCAGCCTAGCCAGGTTCTCTAGCCAGGATCTCCAGCCAGGTTCTGTGTCTAGGTTCTT